TTGGTGTCAGTGGGAGGAATAGCGCCCCATCATTGGTGTCAGTGGAAAGAATAGCGCCCCATCATTGGTGTCAGTGGGAGGAATAGCGTCCCATCATTGGTGTCAGTGGGAGGAATAGCGCCCCATCATTGGTGTCAGTGGGAGTAATAGTGCCCCATCATTGGTGTCAGTGGGAGGAATAGTGTCCCAACATTGGTGTCAGTGGGAGGAATAGTGCCCCATCATTGGTGTCAGTGGGAGGAATAGTGTCCCAACATTGGTGTCAGTGGGAGGAATAGTACTCCGTCAGTGGGGGGAGGAATAGTGCCCCATCGTTGGTGTCAGTGGGGGGAGGAATAGTGCCCTATCGTTGGTGTCAGTGGGAGGAATAGTGCCCCATCATTGGTGTCAGTGGGAGGAATAGTGCCCCATCATTGGTGTCAGTGGGAGGAATAGTGTCCCATCATTGGTGTCAGTGGGAGAAATAATGCCCCATCATTAGTATCAGTGACACCAATGATGGGGCACTATTCCTCCCACTGACACCAATGACACTTGCTGACTCCTGTTCTAGTATGGTACTGCTGCAGCCAGCATATGTGGTTGCAGCAGCACCTCTGCACTGCACACTTACCCTCACTCGATTTTCGCGGGTCCGCTTGGCTCCGCCTCCTCGCTCGTGATTGGCCGCCTGTGTGCCTTTCCTGAGCTAAAGTTCTGGCGGCCAATCACCGGTGAGGAGGCGGAGCCGAGCGGCAGCAGTGAGGGAGTGGCCGGAGTGACTGAAGGAGCAGCGCTTCCTGGATGGATCGTCGTGGGAGCCAGGTAAGAGACTGCAGCCCTCTGCCCACCCCTGAACTTGGTGTCCCTTCCGTCGGAAGGGGGGGACGGCGGCAGCACCGCGCCGCCCCCCTAAAAAGTGCCCCCTGACGTGTACCGGCGTATAAGACGACCCCCGACTTTTGAGAAGATTTTCAATGGTCAAAAAGTTGTCTTATATGCCTATATATATATACGGTATATATATTGCATTCACATCAGTTCCTGCCCTCAAGAAGCTTACGATCTAAGGTCCCTAACTCACATTCATATATACACATACTAAGGCCAATTTAGACTGGAGCCAATTAGCCATTTGTTAACTGCAGATAGCCGAATGAAGGCTTCACTGCAGCTGACCAGTTCTGTTAGGGCGTCATATGACGTCCTCCCAGAACGTGCCCTCCCGCACGCTCCCGGGGGCACGCACCCGGCGATCTCCGTGATCGCTGTGTCCCATGGACACAGCTGATCACATAATGTGGTAAAAGGCCAATCACAGCGGCCTTTTACCACGTGATCAGCCATGTCCAGTGACACAGTAGATCTCCAGTAAATGCAGTTTCCGGTTATCAGCTGCACTTTCCTCACACTGTCACAGCATTTGTCAGAGGATGGGTAGGTACCGATCATCAGGGCACTGATGATCAGTGCCCAGCAGTGCCACCCACCAATGCCACTCATCTGTGCCCAGCAGTGCTGCCCACAAGTGCCCAGCAGTACCACCCACCTGTGCCTAGCAGTGCCACCCACCTAGGCCCATCAGTACCCAGCAGTGCCACCCACCCATGCCCAGCAGTGTCTATAATAGAAACAAAGAAAAGCTTTTTTTTTTACATTTTTGCTCTTTTTTCATTTATGGTGCAAAAAATAAAACACCCAGTGGTGAGTAAATACCACCAAAATAAAGATCCATTTGTGTGAAAAAAATTATAAAAATTTTATTTGGGTGCAGTGTTGCATGACCGCACAATTGTCATTCAAAGTGCAACAGCACTGAAATCTGAAAATTGGCCTCGGCAGAAAGGGGGGTATAAGTGCTTGGTAGGCAAGTGGTAAAACTACCAGCATGTCTTTGGAGTGTGGAAGTAAACCAGAGTACATGGAGGAAACTCACACAAGCACAGGAAGATGCAAACTGCAGGCAGGCAGTACTGCGGATAGGATTTGAACCAAGACCCTAGTGCTGCTAGGTGGAAGTGTATTTGTGTGGGTTTCTTCCTGCACTCCAAAGACATGCTGGTAAGTTATTGTCTTCTTTCTAAACATGCCATAGTATGTAAGGTAGAATTTAAGCTTCTAGATGTCAAAGACTATTGTTATAATATGTAATACTCGGAGTAAATTGTCAATATTTTTTAAATTCATATAATGATGAAATGAGAAAATAAACAAGCCCAGGAGATGAGTTGATCAGCTACTGGGCTTTTCATTCTTTAAAGCAGAACTGGGGTTAACCGATTCCCTGCCTCCCTATAGTAGAACTACTGCTACAGGGCGGCAGGGCTGCGCACAATCACGAATATATACGTGATTTGTACTTCCAGGTGGGGGCTGTGCACGTGCCGCCCTACCTGCACCGCCACTGGCAGCTAGACATGTCAATCACCGGGTCCCAGAGGGAGATTTCCCGCCGTCACCCAGCGATTGCCAAGTAGAACAGACTGTTCTGACTCTACTACAAGACCATAAACTATATCTCCAGCAATGTATACAGCTATATGACGTGTTTTTGAATTTATCTCTTGCATTGGGTCAGACAGTTTATGTTAGGGATCCGGGTATGACCAGAAATGTGTGTATAAACAATACAATTTATTAAAGACTAAACAATACATAAACGCAGTGCAAGACTAAACATAAACACAGTGCAACCAAACCTCCAACAGATAACAATAAGAACAATACTAAACGTAGTCGGGCAGGCCGGGTCGGTAGCAAATGGGCAGGCAAGGTACAAGGAGCAGGCGGAAGCGTAGTCAGGAATAGCCAAGGTCAGGACAGGCAGAGTTCATGCAGAGTCAGGATTAAAGCAGAATCAGGATCAGGCAGGAAGCAGACAGGATGCAGGTACAGGGGCTCATGGGAAACATACACCAAGGCCCTGATCACAGGCCTGGCCATTCCTTAAATACACCTGCTGTAATCAGCCTCAGGTGATGGCTCATTGCAGGAGTGAGCCTCTGGTTGCTGAGAGCACCCGCTGGCCAGCCCTGGTACTGCAGCCCACAAGGCAGGTGAGTCCCACCACCACTGGCAAGTCCATTCCTGCCAGTTTAACTCAATGAATAAACTCACATGTTGAGGAAGTCAGATAAGGAAAACCATTCAAATGTTCCGTTTAATGAAAGATAATCATAGGTAGAAAAACGTTAATGTTGTAAGCCTCACAGAAAGATGCATACAGGTAGACAGGATACAGTGGAATGACTACAGAGAGAGGCAGGGGGGAGGGGTATACACAAGTATGGTGAGAGAGCTCAACGTAGACAGGAGGAGACAGCTTAAAGACACGAGCAATAATAAACAAGTGATGGTCACAGAGAAATAATAATAAATCAAATAGTGTAACACAACACTCCCCGTCTGAAATCTTTAGATTTCATAACTTCAAAATATATATATTCAATAAGTCCAATTTTGATGACTGTCTTGGAACCTGTAACAAGAAACATGCAAAAAGCAAACATAAACATAAGTTCAACTGGATGGCAGAAAACGTAGTAAGTCAACATGGGACTTCAGAGAATACAAAGTTCCAAGTAAAAAACCTGTAGTTAATAGCAATGTACTCCCTGCCACTCCCGGTCACCTGGCAAAAGGGATACTAACTCTGTAATTGGTCGAGCAAATGTTAGTGTTGATCCTCCCTTGGTTACCTTGACCTCTACCTTCCGGACCTTGTCATCATCACTGGGCATAACTTTAGTAATAAGACCCATAGGCCATTCATTCCAACGAACTTCCTTGACCTTTAGGAGACTGAAATCTCCATCCTTGAGGCTTAGATGTTTGCCACTTGTGACGACCTTGAAGATGATGAAGATATTTCTTCCTCCAGCCATGCCAAAACACATTGGCTAGATGTTGCACCTGTTCATGGTGGTGACAAACCAGAAGATTTGACATGCTATGATTATAGGATTCTGTTATTTTCTGCATAGGTCAGATTTCCCTATATGACCATCAACTCTCAGTAGCTGATTGGCTTCAAATGCAGGGTTTAGATTGAAGAAGAGAGAACTGTTTTTGGACAATTCAGTTCCATTTCTGATTCTCTCAAATTCCTCCTGATATACCTCTTGTCGCACACAACGGATAATTACCTCTTCTACGCGTGCAATATCTGCTGCTGTGGAGCACCCAGAACAAATGTGCCAGCCATGACACACCTATGTAGAGTTCTTCGCAAGGTAACGAGCAATGTGAATTAGGCGAGCAATAGCTCTTACAGCAGATAACCAGGTAGAAAAATGCTCAAAACGGTGTGACCGCAGTTTCTGTTTTGTACTCACAGAAGTGTGGAGTGAGATGTTAACAATTCTTATTGCCTTATCATCTTCAGGACAAACTAGTCCATAAGTGTCAGTAGGGAGTGACTAGGAGTTCTGGAGTGAGTAGGAGTTCTCACACATAAACCTTGGAGGCGAAAGGCATAAGCTGTTCTGAAGAGCTGCTGATGACACGGCTCTGGTCCCACAGTCAGCTGAGTTGAGTTCAGTGGGAACGTAATGCCATTGACTCGGTATAGAGAACCTCTTTACACAGTCTACCTTGTTTCCAACTCTGCACTTTGGTGTGCTGACTGAGTTTCCAACTCAGCTTTTTTTTTTTGTATATGCGGCCTGCACCCTGCTGGCTTCCAATTTAGCATGGGCACTAATTACTGAGTGTAGAGCATCTAGAATTTCGGGATTTAGAGGACTTTATGCATGTCTTGTAGAAATGGATCTGTGAGATGCAGTGTCTTGTAGAAGTTTTATCTTTGCTTCTGCTGTTAATTTGGTTTGCTGGATAAAACTGTCTCTTTCTAGATTAAGAACCTGGAAGCTGATTAATTACTTTAACAGCTTCCCATCCACCCTATAGCAGAAATACTGCTACAGGGCGGCACAGGTGCACAAAATCATGTGTATATATACGTCATTTTGCATTTCTGGGTAGGAGGCGTGTGCGAGCTGCGTGCATGCCCTACCTGCACTGCCATTCGCAGCCACAACTGTCAATCACCGAGTCCTGGCCGATGATTACTCGCCTGGTGATTTCCGATGATCTCTAACAGTTCTCCTCCCTGTCAGCTTGGGCACACTGCTTTGGATGGCTGTGCACAGCACAGCCATCCACAGCAATGTGCTTACATTGAAGCACACTGAAATGGCCCCCTATGTAAAACACTCCCACCACACAGTTAACCCTTTGAGCACCACTCATGTTAACCCCTTCCTGCCCAGTGCCATTAGTACAGTGTCAGTGCTTTTTTTAGCACTGATCACTGTATTGGTGTCACTGGGGATGTCAGTGACACCAAGTCAGTTCTCCCCAGTGTCAGAATGCCCATAACAGTCCCGCAGTCCCACTATAAGTCGCTGATCACCGCCTCCATTACTAGTAAAATTTAAACAAAAAAAATTCAGTATCTATACCGCCATCTGTAAATGCTATAACTCATGTAAACCATTTAATTTACACGTATTGGGATTTTTTTGTACTAAAAAAATGTAGCAGAATACATTTTGGTTTTAAATGTATGACGAATTTTGATTTTTTTACATTTTTTACTGGACATGTTTAATAGCAAAAAGTCAAAAATATTGTTTTTTTCTCAAAATTGTCAGTCTTTTTTTTTATAACGCAAAAAATAAAAATGCACAGGCGATCAAATACCACCGAAAGAAAGCAAAATTCATGGGGCAAAAAGGATGTAAATTTAATTTGGGTGCAGCATTGCATGACCGCATAATTGTCAGTTAAAGTAATGCAGCGCTGTAACGCAAACAATGGCCTGGTGAGGAAGGGGGGGTAAGTCCTCAGGAGGGCAAGTGGTTAATGAATCTTCTGTGTTCATACTTTGTAAAACATTATTGAACTTGCTGCTGATAAACTGACAAAGCTCATATGAGGCAGAAAGTTTTTGGATGGCGCCCTCTAGTGGCCGTACCTCCTGTTCAACAGACAGTGTTAGATTGAGTAACAACCTTTTCCCATAATAACTTCAGGATAGTTGTTAGTTCAGTTCTTAAAAAGTTTCATCATTTTTCATCATTTTCCAAGTTGGTTTAACTGAGCGTTTGGGTAACACTGCTGGATCAGGTTCTTGTGCTTGTGCTGTGTGACATTTCTTCACAGAAGCCCTTGTAACTCATGTTGACATAAACAGATAATGACTGAGAGATAAGCAAGCAGGAAAGTTGTGTAGCTTTCCTGTGTGCTGTAATATGAAACCAGAGGGCCTGGGCTTAGTTATGGAGGCTTATACGTGCTCCTGCCATATTCTTCCTTTGCAACGAGAGCAATAAATCTTGTCTGTATCAGTAATGTCACCCAGGAGTCTTGTAATTAGGCTGTAAACTTCGTTTTTCTACTGTTCTGACTCAATTACAAGACCATCCACTTTATCTCCAAGGATGTATACAGCTATACGACGGTGATATTGAATCTATCTCTTGCATCGGGTCAGACAGAATAAACTCACATGTTGAGGAAGTCAGATGAGGAAAACCATTCAAATGTTCCATTTAATGGAGGATAATCATAGGTAGAAAAAGATTAATGTTGTAAGCCTCAAGGAAAGATGCATACAGGTAGACAGGATACAGTGGAATGACTACAGAGAGAGGCAGAGGGGAGGGGTATACAAGTACGGTGAGAGAAAGAGCTCAGCTTAGACAGGAGGAGACAGCTTAAAGATAAAGAGCAATAATAAACAAGTGATGGTCACAGAGAAATAATAATAAAACAAATAGTGTAACACAACACTGACAGGGGAGAGACCCAGGGGTGTACTTACCATAAGGCAAACAAGGCATTTGCCTAGGGTGGCATTTTTCAGGGGGGGCAGCACTGCCCCTTGGAAGAAGGGACGGAAGAAGGGACACATGCAGCATGGGGACCTGGTGGGTTCCGAGAGATTCTGTAGGTTTCATGACGGTGTATGCACAGCCCGACTCTTGTTCCTGGGGATGTCCGGAGCTGTGAAGATAAGTGTCTTTCTCTCTCTCGCCATGGGGGATGGTGGCTGGTGTATGGGGGGCAGTGGTAGTGGAAGGTTTGGTGGAGGGCAGGGGTGCTCTTGGTCAATGTCAGGCTCTTTCTGCAGGGGGCGCCAATTTTTGTGTTGCCTAGGGCAGCACAAAACCTAAATACACTACTGGAGAGACCTGTGTGTAAACAACACAGGTCTCTATCCTGCCAGAAAGCACATGCTGCTGTGTATTTCTCTGCAAAATCTGGTGCTTTAGTTAATCTTGTTAAAGATTAACTGAAGCTGAAATTAGAAGGTGATTGACTACCATGCACAGCCACACCAGATTCTGAGTGCTCCAGTTTTAGTAAACCTCCCCCATAGTATTTGTACTGTACTAATGATAGCCTAAGGTTTCATGGTATAGAATTAAAATTTCACTGATTGTTAATTATTAATTCCTGGCCAGTACTGTCAAGCTAAAAGAAAAATGGAAACAAACCCCATGTCTTGAACGCTATCATGTACTTAAAAAAATACATAAAAAATATATCACAGCATATGCAGGTCCACAGAAAAGTGTGACAGCTGCAAAAACTCAATGGCATTTACCTAAATAATCTTGCAGTAAAAGTACTTTGCTGCAGAAAATATAAAGGAATGTGTCAATCTTCAGACCTATAAACTGATATATTATCACCATGTTTTCAGGGAGCTGGATTTAATGAAACTATTTTTTAGCAAATTGCAGATTTATGAGGGAGGACCAGTAAATTGCTATTCCCCTGTCCTGTTAATTGTATGCATTGGGCCTCTGATCCATTGACAGCTCCCACTCCCCCCCCCACACACACACACACCTCCACCCTCTCCAAACACAAAAACACACACAACACCACCTCACAAAACATGGCTTTAAAAATGCTTTCTGCTAAATAAACACACCCCCTCTTATTTTCCACAATGGCCACCTATTCAATACATTAAAAAAAAAAAAATCACCCAGTCATAAAATGAGAACCAGATCATATGAGCCCCCCAAAATTACAAAACGAATATCTGTAAGGTTCCCCCATACTCCTGGCTGGGTGTGGGCTGATAAATAAAAAGAATACCTATTGCATGATGTAAAAGATATAAGACTCTTTGTATTTTGTAGAACATATTTTCAAAATGTGGAGAACAAAGAGTGATACTCTTTATTTTGAATACTGTACATTTCATTAAAACACAATGTCGTTTCCCCATTTATATCTTTCCAAAGTGCTCAAAAAGATCTACAACAAATCATGTCATATGCAGATATTGTATACACTATTAAGCATTTCATGTCCAATTGAGTTTAAACTGCTACCAAAAACTAGATTATATTTAACATTATAGTGGTAATAAATGGAGTTATTAAAAAGAACAATGCCCCTAGCAGACCTCACATGCTAGCACATTATGAAAGACCTACCTAAGAAATGGATCCCTCCAGCGGTGTGTTGTCACCACTGACAGGGAATCCATCTTCACACAGTCTTCCTTCCGGGTTTGTGGGCTCCTGCCATTTGAACGGCTGAGTTGTGATGACGTCACTCCCATGCATACTGTCCATTCAGAGCTTAGTGTGCATGCACTGATGATGTCACTGGCTGCTACACATGTAAATATTTCCTATATGGTGCACGCTTAGGAGATATTTACTGTACCCACATGTAAGCCTTATTATAGGCTTACCTGCAGGTACAAAAACCAATTGTATTTGTTTATTACCCTTTAAAAAATATTTCAAAATTATATTTATATCTCTAGCATTTCAACACCTCCAATAAATACTTATACTTTCACCCTTGTGAAAAAGGTTTTGTACAGTTTTAAAAACTATAGCATGTGTTTATGGCTATACAACATTTTCCCTTCTTTGATAACCCTGATTTTCCAGAACTGAAAACTCCTAAAGAGCAAAAACCATGGAAAAACTGTTTTCATATATCCTAATCTAATTATATAAACATGCTACATTAAACCATTTCACTTCCCTTCAATTTGTGATACAATTACCAAAAAGATGTAGAAAGCTACAACTAAGACAATTTAGCCTCTATTCAAATGTTCCTTCCCAGAATCAACCTAGTTTCTCTTTGGTATAATGATGACCATACACTAAGAAAAGTTTGGCAATGTGGTAGTTATATTTATTTCCTAGTTATCAGTGATCGAAAATAGGGTGGACATTTCGTAAAACCACCTCAATGCCACTTAAAAGGGCATTTCTTTTCACTTTCACCACAATCTTTATGGTTTGGTTGCTTTTCTGGCTGCATACAAAAAAACAATGGGGGTCACATAAAGAATTGGAAAATTACACTACATCCCTAAATGGACACATCAAACAAAACTAAAAAAATGAATAGTGGGACTTTAAGGTAACCTCTTAAAAAGGAGCAGGGCCCTCCTATCCCTCTTGTATTGAACTGTACTGTTGCTGTATTGTCTCCCATTATATTGTAAAGTGCTGAGCAAACTGTCGGCGCTATATAAATCCTATATAATAATAATTATCAAAACATACAATACAATAAATTAAAAAAGGTCTTTATTCACATTTGATATTTTTACTATAAAAACAGTTAAAGTGGTTGTAAATGTAAAAGGTGTTTTTACCTTAATGCATTGTCTGCATAAGGTAAAAAACACATTTATATGCAGTTCCCCCACAGTCCTCCCTGAGCTCAATCTCGGTCTAGCACTGTTTGTCTGAAGCATCTCCTCTCCCCCTCTCCCGACTCTCACAGGCTTGGCTTGTTAATACGAAGGTTCACTTTTAATCTCGCTTTCCTAAGGATAACACCTCTATCCCGGTAATTAAACAGATTACCATGGGATGAGGGAGAATACCTATGGGAGAGGTCTACAAGGGACTCTGTGGACTCTTTCAATAACAAAGCACTCTGATAGGCCATCCTGCCCAAACTTTTCCATCAACCAGCTCTACAAAAAAACTGTGGGGTCAGAGACTTCTGCTTTTTCAGGCAGACCGACCAATCTCAAGTTGTTTCTCCTTAGCTCTTTGGGTAGGAGGGGACAACAGTATCCTCTAAATCAGCTGCCAGTGAAGAGAGCAGAGAGGAGGATGCTGCATCCCCAAATAGTTCAGGAGTAGATGCCAGTGAAGACCACAGGCCAGTGAAGCAGCAATTATCTTGACAGGATCGCGTAGCTCGTGGTAATGCTCATTCTCACCAGAGACTGTTTTCTGTGTCTGCCCATCCACCAGCAGGCACTAGGGAGTAGAGAAATCTACAGTGACCCGAAATAAGTGTCCGAGTGCAGAACAGACACAGTTAAGAATGAAGGATAAGGCGGGATATGAGCAAAATGTTTTGGAGCTACAGTAGAAAGCGTCCGCTCACATCTCACATT